GCTTGAAGAGTGGCTGTGATCTTCCTCACTCCCTTTTCTCTCTCTGTCTTCGTACTGTCCCTTGTGTTTACTGTTTCTGCTTGTGTGTGTTGTCTTTCCGTTTTTTTTTCCTCCCCTGTTCTTTATTTTATAGCAAGGGGGTAGCCCCTCCCCCCCCCCGGCGGACATGATTTCGACAGCAGTGTATGTAATCGAAAGAGATCAAGAGATTGGCAGATCGAGAGAGAAAGAGCATGTCAAGTGAGTGGCGTTGGCAGGCTGTTATGCAACCCTGCGTCTATTGTTTAGGGCGAGTCTTGTGCTTTTGTGAGTTCTACCGTCTTCACCCGAATAGAACGCCCGGTCGTTATAGCTGTATCTGGACTGGATATTGCACCAAATACGACTATAACGACCGGGCGTTCTATAGCTGTATCTGGACTGAATATTGCACCAAATACGACTATAATGACCGGGCGTTCTATTCGGACTGCAGGTTGGGTCGGGGCAAGCTGGCCGTCTGCCAGTTGCAAAGGAGTGAGTGCTTGATTAGCGCAGACGTCAACAGCGTAGGGTGCAAGCGTCGGCCAACAGTGAGAGTTATTATTACCCAAATTCATAGCCATGCTATAATCTTCTTCATCGTGCTCAGCTCCTAATTCAAAAGCAAAAAAAAAACAAAAACAGAACGTCATTCAATGGCAACTCAAATGAAGAAGATTGGAAGAAGAATAGCACAAGGGAGGGAGAAGAACTAAGAATAGCAAAAGAAGAATAATAACCAAAGAAGAAGATGAATAACAAAAGAAGAATAGTAATAACAAAAGAAGAATGATAACAAAAGAAGAAGAATAGCAAAAGAAGAAGAATAGCAAAAGAAGAAGAAAGAGATAAACACAAGCTGGAACTGATGTGGTTTGTCACTCACCTTGCCTCCATCACCTCCGCCTCATCATCTCCACCATAATCTTATCTTATTATTATTATAAATATATCAATATGAATAATAAACAACAAACGTGAATGAAAGAGTCAAAATAAAAAAATGTCTGATTACTCCCCATTAGTGCCAGCAACATAAAGAGTCCTTTGACGTCCTACACCTCCCATCGTCGTCCTTGGTATGAAATCTGGCTATGGCCGCTCATTCACAAGCATAGGTCGGTGTTTGAAGGCAAAGCTTCATTGCCCTGTCCCACTTCAGCTGCCAAGCCTACTCTACCAGTTCTACTCCTCAACCCTCGGGTAAAACCCTCAGGGGCCTTTCTAGGTGCCGCGTCGGCGTTGGAGATGAAGATGCAAGTCCACCATAGCCACAGGTGAGTCTCCTTCCCGGTACCCACCTCCCTTCCTCCTCCCTCCTCCCTCTCCCTCTACCACTACTCGATAACCTAGCTAAAGGTCCTCCTCCCTCACCTCCATAGCCTACAGTCTTCCCCCGAATACAACGTACGGTCATTATAGCTGAATTTGGTGTATCTTTCAGTCTAAATTCAGCTATAATGACCGTACGTTGTATTCGGGGGAAGACTGTAGCCCTCCCCCTCTACTTCTTAATAACCTAGCTAGAGGTCTTTCTCCCTCACCTCCATAGCCTAGAACTAACGCCTCCTCCTTGATACTACGTAGCCATGGAGGTCTTCTCCGTCCATCTCCATCTTCTCCTTCCACGAATGCCACCACTTCTCCCTCTTGGCGAAGGACCAGCATGACTTTCGGGTTAATCGGCAAAATGCTCATTGTGGCGAATGATAGACTTGCTGCCTCTCGGCTCCAGTGCCTCAGCCTGTTACTACCTGCCTCGACTGCCTCACTTGGGTGGCCTATTTTTGGTTCACTGGGAGCTTTGGCAAGTACACTAGGCCTACTGGCTGTTCTCTCCTTTTGGTGGGAACGTCATTCCAGCCTGAAACCTACCTACAGGCCTAGAACCTATACTACTTCCCGCAACCACAGCAAATCACAGCAAATCACAGCAAATCACATCACAGCAAATCACAGCAAATCATCGCAGCAAATCACAGCGAATCACAGCAGAACAGACTCAAACTCGGGATTTTCCGAAAGCAGAGTAAAGGAATATCTGTTTTTTTAGAAATTGCGCGAATCTCAGAGAGAGAGAGAATGACCTGAGCATAATTTGTGTTGCACTCTTGTGGCTCAGACTAGGTAACAATGATGACTGTTCCTTCAACAGCAACACGTAGTGCATATTTCAAGCCCGCTACTCCACTTCCAACTACCAAAAAATCAGACCTTAGGGTCGCACAATCTTAAAAAAAAAAAAAAAAAAAAAAAAAAAATTGTGCGAATCTCAGACAGCGATCTGTGTAGGTCATTGCTGCCGGCTATCAGAAGGATGTATTGATTTGGCACATGGTGGAATCAACTAGTGATTTTGAAGTTTGAAAAGCATCTCGTGCTTTCTCGCACAGAGAAGCAAGAAAAGAAGAAAGTAAAGGAGAGAGGAAAACAGGACGTGGAATGGTAGGTATCTCAGTTTGACAGAACCATACAACAAGCAGGAAACGAGGAAAATGAGGAAAACAGGACGTGGAATGGTAGGTATCTCAGTTTGACAGAACCATACAACAAGCAGGAAACGAGGAAAATGAGCCCATTAAAAAGAAAATGAGCCCATTAAAAATAAAATGGAAAATGGAAGCGGGTGTTGCTGCTCCGTGACTGAAGCATCAAGTCAGACAGGCGATGCGGAACAAGTAGGACGTTGCATAAACAATCGTGGCCTTGCACACTGCTGTGCGTGTGTGTGGTGGTTCACATTCGCATAGACGGTGCACGGTTTGTCTGGGAATTGCAGACCTCAGACAGTTCCTTTGCATGCTCGTCGTTTCCCTCTCACACTGTGTTGTTCAGAATGGAGTAGCTTAGGGTACTGTGATGGCCGTTATATCCAATTCTGCAGTTTCTGGGAGATTCGCATACGGCAAGGGCGCTCGGTTTGTGGCCACCAAAAGGGTCGTTATCAAATTTTGCAGTTTCTGGGAAACTCGCATACGGCAAGGGTGCTGTGTTTGTGGCACACTGAAAGTAGTGTGTGTCTGAACAGCGCTTCATGTGCCATGTTTTCCTATGGTTGACCATGCTTGGCACACGTTAGCACAACGTAAGGCAGCACGACTTCAATCTACAGAACTCACAAATGCCATGGTGCATTGGGCTGAGTGATGCTGTAGCTTGGCAGAGTGCTTCCCTGTGCTTATTTGGATGCAATGCCATTAGCCTAGCAGGGTATTTGGCCATGCTTTGGTGTGTGTATAGTTCAGCACACTGGAAAGTTCATTTATGATATTGTGTTGCAGGAAGAAGAGGGGGGGGAGCTTCCTTGTCCCCTTCAGCTTGCCTGTGCTTAGTCCTGGTCGCAGCGATGTTCATGCTTGGCACTGCTTATTTTGGCTGTGATAGCACAGCGTAGCCAGGCTAACAGCATAGCAGGGTATATAGTATGAGGGAGTGAAAGAGCATAGTATGGCATGGTTTGGCATGGTTTGCCATGCTTCGCTTTGCTTTCTTTTATGAGGTTTTCGACTCTTGAACCCTGCAAAATGGCTTTGAAGGGACATAGACTGTTAAATCTTGAAGACTGCTGCACGGGAATAGCTGGCCAGGTGGGCCAAATGGACCCTGAGTGCCCACAGGGGGCGAACAGCTTGCCAGGCACACCAAACTAACTGAATTAGTCTCCGTAGGGTGGTTGCCTGTGCAGGGCGAATCACTTGGGAGGTGGGCCAAATTAACTCGAATAACGTGGTTGCCCCAAAAGATGAGTGAGCAATCAAGCCAACGGAACGGCTTTCACCAGCCCGTGGTCCCCTCTGATCGGGAATGATTATGCATCTGGTCAGGATTTGCTTGTCTAAGACTGACAAGAAAGAGCAAAACAACTGATGAAAACATAATTCATCCCGTGTTTCAAGCTTTGGCCGATGCTGTTTGCATGACCAAGTACACGCACCGGTGGTGTCTTCTCCTCCGCTCTCCCCCTCCCGCCCCCAACCTGTCTTCTTTGCACCTATTGCTATCTTGCAGCTATTGCTATCTTGGCTTGCTTGCCCTGCGATTTTGTTTCTTCTGTGATTTGCTGTAGTTTTGCTATGTGTTGCTGTACTAGGTCATGCTATGCAATGGTATGCTTCGCTGTGCTTACGCCATGCTTTACAGTCCTTAAGCAGGCTTACACTTTTCCATACCTTTCTCATGCTTTGGCGTGTCAAAAAGCTCTTTGCCATGACTATAGGATTCTGGGATGGCTCCTTGTGTATTTTTTCAGATACGACTGTATTGTAACTCCTCGGTGTGCCACACCATGCTGTAGAATTGATGGAACTCCTTTGTGCACGTGACCACCATGCAGAACGGACTGTTGAATCTGGTGTAGAACTACATAGCACCTCTGGACTGAGGGGCGGGCGATTGTCCTGTTGCCCAAAAATGAACGAGCAATGGGGCTAATCATACCCAAAATCGCTTGCGGTGACCTGTGGCCCATATTGGTCAGCCTCAACCCGGTGACCAGCGCAGAGAAATGCAACAAACAAGAAACGAACAATGAAAACATATTCTTTGGCCCTGTACGCTGCAATCCCCACAGCAACTCGCTAAACGACAAAACGTCAACCTGACGCAGCCTGAGGGCTGTGCATTGAATGTCCGATGCTTGGCAGGGCATTTCAGTTGGATCCTGATGGCACTGGGTTTCGTTCAGAAAGTAATGAATCCACTTTGCATTCACGCAAGGGCCAGCACAGATGGCCCTGGGTCTGATTCTGTGTTCTCGTGATTTCAGAATCATACGTCCCCCTATCCTAACTATTTAGGGTCATGAAGGGGTCCACTTTCGTGAGGGCAATGAAGGCTTCATTTTCCTCCTCTGTGGCGGCGGAGAAGTCTACAAATTTGGTTGGGTGTCTGAGGGGGAGGTAAATATGTCTACGGTTTGTCCACGGAGGTCTGTTCATGTTAGCTACTGATGGTTGGAAACCTTGCTGTCTGTTGAACAGGTCAAGGTGTTCGGAGCTGCTCTCTGCCGTGAACGGGAGTAGTGGTGTGCGTTGGTGCCAATTCGTTGTGGAATGTGCTGGCTTTGTTTGGTGATTATTGCATAAGGAGAATTTGCGGGCTAGCTTGTGGTGCAAGAAGTGAAGTGGAGCCTTCATTGGAGGTAAGCTGCAGTTCGCCATAGGAGCTGTGTGTGGCAGCTGTGCCATCATATCTTGTCAGGTAGCTGTTGTGACATTTGTGTGAGAGAACATTCATCTCTGGTTTGCCCTATAGAGGTGAGGTCACTCGGAGCAAGGGTTTTGTCTGTTTGCGAGGGAAGTTTATTACACAATGATGCATGGAAGACAGGGACCCGCTGGACCATTTTCTGGGCAGATGGGTGGAGGTCCTGGGGCATTCAATGGGATGCGTGCTAAGGCACCACCTGGTCCTCCGCCTCCTGTTTATGGTGGTGGTGGTGGTCCACACCAAGGTCATCCTCCTCCACTGGCAGTCATGGAACACAAGCTTGCCACTGCACACACAGAGATGCAGAGGCTGTTGACTGAAAACCAGAGGCTTGCAGCAACCCTCATGGCTCTACGGCAGGAGCAGTCGGTAGCTCAAGGAGAAGTGCAGCGCTTGCAACAGGCATTGGCTACGCGTCAGGCCGAGAGAGAGGCAAGCATCCGGAAGCTTATGGAACGGAATGCTGCGATGACGGAAGAACTGCGTGCAGTAGAGCCGTTGAAGAAAGAGGTTCATGCTGCAAGAGTGGAGCTGCAAAGTCTTCGAATGAAATGTCAGGAGTCTGAACAGGCGAGGGTAACTGCTCACCAGCAACTGCAGGGCATGACAGCTGACTTCAGTCGGGCCCGTCAAGAGCTGAGTCAGCTTGCCACTCTGAGGCAGGAGGTGCAGCAAGTTCCAACCCTGCGGCAGGAAATTCAAGGGCTGCGGCAGGAACTGCAGCAAGCGCGAACCCAGCTTGAACAGGAGAAGAAGTTCAACTCTGAGCAAATTGATAACAGTCAGCGGCTGGAAAGCAACCTTGTCTCAATGGCAAGGGATAATGAAAAACTCCGTGCACAACTCACTGTTGCCAGCAGGACTTCTGGTGGCAGTGGAACCCTGGGATGGAGCTCTGGTCCCCCAACTAGGGACTACAGTAGCGGTTTATGGTAACCTGAGCAGTTTTGGCCCCTTCCGTGACCTTTCCTCTTCGTGCTCTCCTTCCTTCCCCTTTGCCCTCGGTGGTCCCATGTAAGGCTGCACCGTAGTGTGCAGTTCCACACTGACTTGTCCTTTGTCCGGTAGCCCTAGACCGTAGGATGATTGTGCATACGCCTGCAACTTGCATAGCCATCCATCTGTGAATGGATGTGAGAGCACTTTGAGCGGTGGGCAAGGAGGACGTACAGTTCTTCTTCATCAAGCACGTTAAACAGTTAGTTCGGTCTGGAGCAGTGGCAGTGGACATCTTGTTGTGTGGTTTTCAAACCATTCAGGTTGGCAGTTAAGATGCTTTCTCCTGCTTTGAGAGAGCCCCTGTCTGTTTTAGTGGGGTGATCAGGGTATGACACCTACCCTTTGCGATAGGCCGCGCTGAAGGTCAGGGAAGGTCCACTTGCGCAGGAGATGCAGCCGTCATCACGAAAGGCATGCTGTCTGTAGGCAAACATTTCTCCCTTGTGTAAGCTTTCTTTGTGTCGACTAGTGGAGGGCCTGAGCCCATTTATAGGTCAGCCCTGCTAGCCTGTTCTGTAGGCTAACTGCTTCTAGGTTTTACCACTCTGCTTCAGGTCGCTGTTGATTCTCGTTAATGTCGGAAATGGAACCCTTCTTTGCAGAACAGGGTGTCCCCACATCATCCTATATGCTGATTCTGTTGGGTATATCACTGTATACGCCAGCAGTTCTCAAAGTATTATGTGGCAATGAAAAGAGCTCTCAGCTAGATTTATTTTTCGTCCCTATTTGCCGTTCCTGGAATGGGAAATGAATACAGGTTTCTATGGCAGGCCTCTCTGTCCACCTTTGTTCCACATTACCTTTTTGTGCCCCAAGTGGCAGACCTTGCAGTACAGTGTAACATCGGGCATGCTCCCTCTGTACCATTGTCTATCGACTAGGGCAAGAGGCTAGTAGAGGTGGGTGGCCTTAAAGCCTTGGCGAGCTTTGCTGCCCATTGTCTATAGGGTTGCTGTCCGGCTGCCTGGCCTGCAGAGTCGGGTCGAGCGGTGTCTGGTCAAGCAGACTTAACTTCACTCCTCCAGGGTAAGACCGTGCTCAGTTGCTGTTTTTGGGGTCGGCTGCGTGGCCAAGAATACTGCCAGGTCAAGCAGAGTAACTTCGCTGATGTGGGATAGTTAGTGGTTGACTATCTTACTCCGACTTCTTAGCTGGTTGACAGCAGTTTGCTTATCAAGTGGTTAACCCACTCTTGGCTCTGAAATTGTTAAGCCTGCAGTTGTAACTCAAGTGCCCTCATTCCCACATCTATTGATCGATTGAGGGGAGTGTATGCATTGAGATTGCCGACCCTGTGGGTGCTGGCTGGCTCTTGCAATGGCCTGCCATCCGCTTACCTGATGGGCTTGACAGCTGGCGAGCGATAAGTGGTCCACTTGCAAGCTGCGAAGGCAGTTGATTGATTCGTGATGGGCTAGTTGAGTGGGAATAGCAGTTTTCGAATAAACAAATAGTGGTGGCTTCGCATGCAGTTTAAAATGATGCGAAAGTGACCAATTTACTATCCAATCCCCTTACTTGATGCCCTCCGGCCCGCACTCTCTTTCATGCACCTCGTCATCTTTTTCAGGTGTCTCGTTGGAAGCTAAAGAATCCGCAGGAGCCAATCACCCACCTGCCTCCCGGATGTTAAGGTCAGGCCTATGTAGAATCAGGAATTGACAAGCAGCTATAGTGCCCCATTGATTTTGTGCTTTGAGAACATGTTAGCTCCATACCAAGTCTAAATGCATTTACACGCGAGCAAGATTAGAGAGTATGCGCTGACACAGAAGGTATAAAAAGGGATACTGAATGCACGTGAATGAACTATGAGGTAATTGAAGTTCGACTGGATGTGGAAAGATCGGAGGCGTACTTTGGCTGATCACATAGGCACACTATGAATTGACAAGGCAGTGTACTGTGCTTGTCAGACTGATCTGGATTGTCAATGATATTTGTTGATCCTGAAGGGGCTTGACCGTGTTGATATCCTATGGAGAGATCTATGTTCTATGTAGTGCAGTATCCCTGGTTGGTGGGTACTTCCTCAGCCTGTGAGAGAGAGGTGAGAGATAAGCGAGAGGGAGGGAGCACATGACAAGTTGGAGAGGGAGGCAGGTCTTGAATAGTGGGGAACAATAAAGTTGGGTGAGATGAAAGGCAATGAAAGTCAGCTGCAGGGTTTTGTTGTAGTAGGCAGATGAGTAGCTAGTTGGCGTCATAAGTGAACGAGGGACGGAACGTTATGATTTATTGCCTTTTTTGTGAGAAAAAAAGTTGAGTGCTTGCCAACAATGAAAGCTATGATAACATTCAACTGGTACAGATAGCCGTGTTCCGTGAGATGCAATCTTTCAACAGCCATGTGTCGTCTGATTGGATACCAGGTTGGTCGGTCTCGTGTTTCTTTCTAGTGGCAGTATGAATCTGTGAACATCTCATGTTCTGCCAGGAGAAGATCGTTCTCGTTGACGTATTGTTTGTCTATGTGGTTTAGAATGTGAAAGTGTCAGGATTTGTTGGAATGTAGAAAACGAAGTTGATGTCTCAAAAAAGCGTGAACTGGCCAACAAGTAATTTCCATGTGTGTGATATAAATGTGCAGTGCCAATCAGGTCTAGCTCTGGTCAGACTTTCTTTGTGAAATTCTGGTTAAAGTTTTTGGACCTGTCATCCTGTGGATTGTTGATCTTTTCTTAAGATTGCTCTACTGTTCAAGAGTCATAAGTCATCATAAACCTTAGCATCTTCGTAAACAATGACTGCAGGTTTGAGCACTGTTCAAAATTCGCAAGTTGTTATAACCTGGATTGTCTTCATAATCGATTACTGCAGGTTTGAGCGGTCATGTATTGGTTGCTGAAAGATCTGAGCAGTCGTATATTCAGAGCTGGTTTAGAAACGAAATTGGAAGTAACTGTATTTGTTATAGTGGCGTTAGAACAGTTGTGCGGGACGACTATTGCTGAGTGAATGTTTCATGACGACCACACAGTGAGGCCACACCAAGTAAGTGGCAAGGCAGGTGGGTGGGGGAACCGAGGACGGTAACCGCTAATCACGGTCTCCTTTCGGTTCTTGTCCTCATTCAGCATCGTACACAGCTTCTCCTTCTCCCTTCTGCTTCTAGATGAAGACATTAAGAGAATCATTCTCAGTAGTTGTGACCTGCGCTTGTGCCCTGCGCAGTACCCCTGAACCATTGGCTCAGACCCCTTGGATCAAAAGCTATCAATGGCGACTGCAGGCTTCTGAACAGAGGGAAATAGATCTGCGGAGACGGAATGGGAGGCGGAGGCAGAGTAGGAGGTAAAGTAGGACTTTGAGACCCTTGGATCCTGCGTGATTCCAAACAGATACAGAAAGAACTATCGAGACAAAACAAGAGGAGGAGGTAGAGTAGAAGATAGGAAGTGGAGCCGGAGGTCGAGAGAGGATGTAGGGTAGGAGGCAGAGTAGGAGGTAGAGAGATGAGATGGGGGGAGAGAGGGGAGAGGAGGGGAGGGCTGGAAGCCTAGTTTGGCTGGTTTTGTATGCAAGTGGTATTCAGTTCCCCGAGGCCGCCTGCAGCGTGCTTGGTGTTTGTCAGCCGAGATATTTGTCTTGCCCTCCGTAGTTGGTCTTGATAGGGTCCTGGGTTCTCCCAGAGGCCTTCGCCCCTGCCAGTCCTAGCTGGGGGTTAGTTCATATGGCCGGTAGAGTTTAGTTGCCCCTGCTTTGTAGATGTAGCTTTGTTTTGGCCCTGTTTGGTAGATGTAGGTTTGGCTTGCCCCTGCTTGATAAACATAGCCCTGGCTAGGTAGGTGTGGGTGGGTAGTGTAAGGGATATGGCCTTCACCCCTGCCAGTCCTAGCTGGGGGTTAGTTCATATGGCTGGTAGAGTTTGGTTGCCCCTGCTTGGTAGACGTAGCCCTGGCTAGGTAGCTGTGGGTAGGTAGTGTGAGGGATATCGTAGAGAAGAATACAGAGATGAGGGAAGGGGTGGGGAAGCTTAGCAGCATTCGGCTGCAAATGGCCTCATCCGGCACCTTACACAGCTTCTCCTTCTCTCTTCTGCTTCTCGGTGAAGACTATCAGAGAATCACTCTGAGTAGTCACCTGCGCGTAGTGCCCAGCTCATTAACCCTGAACCATAGATCCCAAGTCAGACTCATACCCTTGGATCAAAAGCTTCGGAACAGATACGGATAGATCTACGGAGGCAGAATGGGAGGAGGATAGGTAGTGTAAGGGAGATATTCAAGAGTAGAATATAGAGATGAGGGAAGGGGCGGGGAAGCTTAGCATCATTCGGGTGCAAATGGCCTCATTCGGCACCTTACATAGCTTCTCCTTCTCTCTTCTGCTTCTCGACGAAGACAATCAGAGAATCATTCTGAGTAGTCACCTGCGCGTAGTGCCCAGCTCATTAACCCTGAACCATAGATCCCAAATCAGACTCAGACCCTTGGATCGAAAGCTATAAACGGTAGCTGGACGCTGTGGAATAGATACAGATAGATCTGCGGAGGCAGAATGGGAGGAGGAGGTAGAGCAGGGGGTAAAGCAGGAGGTATAGACCCTTAGATACTGCACACTTCCAAACGGATGCAGAAAGATCTGCAGAGCATAAGGGGAGGAGGTGGAACAGGAAGTAGAGACACGAGGAAATGCTGAAGAAGCTTGGCAGCATTTGGCAGCAAATGCGCCCCCAACACACAAGATCTATAGTATTTTTTGTTCAATGCTGATGTCCAAAAAAAAAAAAAGTGAACTAGTAAAAAAAGACAAAAACAAAAATGGTAGAACTTTTGAATTCGGCTGAACTTTTCTGTTATCTTCTTACTTTTCTTCTCGTAATAAATCAATCGATCAATCGATCAATCAATCAATCGATATATCAATCAATCAATCAATGGTAACGCATACACAAACATACATACAATACCACAGACATTGCAGATGAATCCATTGTTTTATCATATCGTCAATCAATCGTCAACCAGCCAATCAACCAATCAATAAATCAGTCAATCAATCACTCATGCACAAAGAGTTGAACATCCTGATAAATCGGTGAAAGTCTGCTGAAACAGTGTGGCACAGTGATGCCTTTTTTTGTGAAGTTGTGTATAGTGTACATGCCAACACACAGTGAGGGAGGAAGACGACAACAGAAGGTAGGGGACAAGGCTGGAAGAAGAAAGCAGACAGAAGGGATAGAAGCTGGAGGAAGACGAGTACAGAAGGGAGAGGAGGGAGAAGACAGGTGACAGGATTTGGGGAAGGAAGAGCATCCTCATTTTCTCTCTTAGTCTATTGCTGTTTCTTTTTTGGCTTCTCTCGTTCCATCCATCTGTCTCTCCTACTGCACTTTACTGCTTGTCCTGCACTGTCAGCTCATGCTCAACAGGTAGCCATGTCGACGGTGGTTCCCAGGTGCGAGCACGATTGTCCTGCAGTCCTCATGTGATATGGCAGGAGCATGTGCGGACCGCGAGCCCAGGTTGACACACGTGTTCTATGAATCAACCTTTCGATTTTGAGTTCCTGCTGTACAAAATTGCACGTGCACCTGGGGTTCTATCACCCCCAGACCTGTCTTTACAGGGCAAAGCCCCCCCCCCCCCCCCCCTACCGTTTTTTTTTTCCTTGCAGTCCAGTCCAACCATACACCAACATAGGCCACAATGCTTGACTATTGACCACTCGATAGTTTAGATGGGCCTTTATGCACGGTACTGGCAGGGCCCACTGAATATTTCGTGAATGTCTGAACCGTCCGCGATCCCTGAAGGACGAGCCGCATGCATATCTGCGTCATAGAAAATGGCGAAAGGTGCTGGTGGTTTAAATGGCAATCCCCTAACCTTATTTGTGCAGGTGGGGTTTTTAACTGTTTGTTGATAGTTGTGTGTGTGTACCCTTCAGCCACTAGGCAGGTACTCTCCACCTTTTTTGGCCTGGGAGGTCAAACCTGACTACAAGTGTGGGAGAGGCGGCCAGGACAGGGCCTCAGGGTGGTGCACATGTGGTTTCAGAATGGTTACATAGACCCAACGAAGTCCTATGCAAGGCAAACAAAGCAAAGACAAGAAAGAAAAGTCCAACTTCACCGGGAATCGGGCTTTGCCATGGAGGTGGTCTTAGAGACTGCGACCATGACAATGAAAAATCGCCGGACACTACCTCTTAAACCATCACTGCCCCTGGCATCAATAAATCTGCAGAAAATGCTCTTCCGTTAACCAGCCGTCCATAGCCAGGGTTGGAGGCAGGTGTGGTGGGGCATTGGACGAGGCTCTCGCGACTGGCAATGTCAAGAAAGGCAGTTTTTTCTGTTTTTCCTACCCGCCCTACACTGTGATTGTATAATTGTTGAAAAAGTTGGTGCACAGGTTGGTCGTGATGCAAGTCCCCCATGTTGGACGGGGAGACTGACATAGCAGAAACAGAAAAGTAAAGAGAAAAACAAACACAAAAAAAAATCATAACAGAACATCCAAACAGTCTGCACCCTGTCCAGTATCGCGTGCAAATGCAAGTAGTGTTGTGTGTGGTGGAGCATGGCCCGTTGCGTGCGTCCCCAATGATCACAACAGGCTTCCCTTCCTTCCTCCCTCCCGCCCTCCCTCCCTCTCTCTCTCTCTCCTCTCACGCCCTGGTAACGAATGTATACAAGTTATTCCTGGTCGGTTACAGCCATAATGAGGGCATGATGTGTTCGGGGGAAATACCCTGTTCCTCTCTCTTTCTCTCCCTCTCCCACCGTCCACCACCTCCACTATGTCTGCCCTCGAACACAACTCACCCTCTCTGTACCAGACTGGAAAGATTGCTTGTATACATTTGTTACCAGGGTGTGCTATGTTCAGGGTGAATACGGTAGCAGCGTGATCGCTACCATCAAGCCGCTGACCACGTGTATGTAATCGATCTTCCCAGCCCGGTACAGCCATAATGGGGTTGCGTTGTGTTCAGGAGAAGACTTGGAGGTAGAGAGGGAGAGAGAGAGAGAGAGAGAGAGACTTCCCCTGAACACATCACACCCTCATTCTGGCTGTTACCAACCAGGGGGCTTGACTGTAGCGATTGTGCTTCTACCATCTTTGCTCGGAACACAACGCACCCTGGAGAGGAATATATGCAAGTTGCCGGGCAGGAGAGATCACTTTCTGACTCGCTCTTTCTCACAATGCATTAGGGCAAGGTCCCACTGATTGTGGAATCTAACCGTAGATCTGCGTAGCATTCGTGTTTGCGTTCGGAGGCGAACCCGAACATGTTCGCCCGAACGTGAACTAGCGCCCAAAACCCTCCGAACGCGAAAAAAAAAAGTCTCAGAAAAACTGAAAAAAAAAAAGTCATGTAAAACAACAATACAAGCAACTTTTGCCCTGGAGTCATG